TCTTTTCTGTAGCTTGTGACCAGCACACTTTATCTCTATGGAAAACTACAACAAATTTATCACTATTTAGTAGCATATTATTTCTATAAGGTGACCTCACCAGGCACAAGGACATTCTTTACAACTGGAGGAAAAGATAATTTACTGCATACAGAAATATCCCCAGTGGCACACTTTCAGCAACAAAAACATGACAAAAGGGTTTAAGCATTCCCTAGATTTGAATTTAAATACAGTATACTTTAACAATATGTTTTCAGCATATCATGGGTTGTATTAAAGTTTTGCTCCGAATAAAATTAGGGAACAATTAACATCCATGTCAGGTTGTTTTTGGGAGGTTGTTTTTTTGATTGGTTGGGTTTTTTGCCGTCTGTGTTGGGAAGATTTTCTTCTTTACTTCCTACTATTTCAGTTCAAGTGACAACTCGAAATTTCAGCTCAAATGGACATCAGAACATAGAGCATAGGAAAAACTCCCTAGAAGGGGCACAGACAACAATAAAAACCGGAGAGTGGTCCAAATTCTTTCCTACTTTGTCCAAAGGGCTATGACGAACTAAGATGTCAAGATATGGTATAAAAATAGTAGGGTCTACAAAGGGTAAAGTTTCTATTTGAGTTAAGTAATTTACACAACTGCATGTAGGATTTATTTAGGCTTATGAAGAACATTTCGGCAGTATATGCATGTGATCATCAGTCTTTACCCTCGTTGTGAATGCTTTACACACTCTGCCAGCATATTTTCCCTGATTTCAACAATGTGCAATGATGCTTTAGCTCTGTTGACCCTGTGGTGAATAGATATCAACACAAACATATCATAAAGACCAGCTTGAATGTTCAAAAGGCCATAGGTCACATTTTTATTTTTTGGGGTCTTTACATGGACTGACAAGAGAAACACTCTATCCTTAAAATGACATTAGTTTGCTAATATAATTTTTGTTGTCAAATAGCTTAAGCTACTAGGAATACAAGTTTGGTAATTACATTTTTGTCAAATAGCTTAAGTTACTAGAATGCAGTTTTTAGATCACAATATAATGTAATTTAGACAACTGTATGTGTTAAAGAACACCCTAGGCAACAAGAAAATCAGTTATTGAACTGCTATCAACTAAGAATTACAGCAGAGCTAGGAAAGAACCTGCCAAAATAGAAATATGAGAGACATATTAGAGGGTGAAAGGTCACCTGAAGTCTGGTAGTTGCAATTTTCAACTACCTGAGCATATACACATAATGCTGATGTCTAGGTGTGCAGTTTGTGAGGTTCATAAGCAGTTGATAAGGACATAGAAGAAACATACAAGTGAAAGCTGAAAAATAAATAAGCTCACCACACCCACTACAATCTCACAGTTCACGTTTTTCTCTTTTTTTTTTTTTAGATCTACCAACAACTTTGTAGTGCAAGGGCCTGTCTGGATACAGATTGGTTGGATAGTTTAGATAGATCCTTACAAAACATAGATTTTTCAGTCTGATTAGGTATATTCAATAGAGGTGTGTTGAAAGAGACATTGAGCTTATGATCACAGCAGTACCAAAGAAATATACAAGCAGTCCCTGAGTTACATACATCCGACTTACATATGACTCCTACTTACAAACAGAGACTATTACTGTACAGCAGTGGTCGTTGTAATGCTACCGCGCTCGTGGTGACGAGGAGAGCCAGCCTTTTTGGGTCTGGTTTGTAGTACTGTACGCACATTACAGGAAATTGGGTCTTGTTAGACATGCAGATTAGGGGTGCCCACCTCTTCTTCGGGGTCACTGTGAGGTTTTTACTGCTGTCTGTATCCTCATTAGAAAGATTTAATCTCACTTTCTGTCCTTGAGACAATAGGTGAATAGTGAAAGGAAATCTACCCCTAGGAAGGGAAATTCACTCCAGTAAGAGTGATCATGGGAAAAAAAAGTATATCTACTGAAGCTTTAACTCCTATCCTTGCTTCCACGACAACCCAAAATTTTCAAATCCAATCGTCACAAGGACAGAAAGTGAGGTGAAATCGTCTGCACAGGGGTACACACAGCAAAACAAACTTTACATGGGGTAAACCCTTCCCTATGCTGTCCAAAACAAAAAACATTTTGGCTGGAATTGCACTTAAAAAATGTACCTGTTCCAACTTGCATACAAATTCAACTTAAGAACAAACCTACAGTCCCTATCTTGTTTGTAACCCGGGGATTGCCTGTACTCAATCCTTAATTATGTTATTATATGAAGCACTGTGTACTTCTATTCTATGGCTTGAGAAATACCAGTTTGGTTCCTGGATTTTTGCCTAAGAGTCCTAATGGAAATTTTCTTGTTTCACCAGAGTATATTTATTAGTCAGCTGGCTGTTTGCCAATGTGTCACCATTCACGTACAGTCACTCTGTAACCTGCAATAATCAAGAATAAAACTGTTCCACCATCAATTCAGTATTGTTTATAAAAGCATGACACTTTTTATTGCGACACACATTCAAACACCTATGCTTTTGTTTTCAACATTACATTAAAGAGGTTGTTAGCAGTTATAAACCCAAAGACTATAAATCTCAGTTGTAATACATTAATATATGTTTTACCTGTCTTTTAAAATTGCACACATAATTATTGTGTTTATGTTGACTAGAAGAAAGGAAACCTTGCCAAACATAAACCGCTGATTCGAAACACTACACCAGCTTAAGATGTGAAATACTTTGTCGTAGCCAGGGCTGTCAAGAAGAACAAAAAAATCTCCTTTTGCAGGAAATTTTGATTACAGCAAGACTTAAAAATGAAATTGCTTTGGTAAACATCCAACTCAATATGCCAGACACTGTATATATTGCTGCTAAACAGACAATGTATATATGCTGCTAAAATGTAATAATAATGAATATAAATGATGTACTAGGAGAGTGCATACAGGGTTTATGATATGCTCAAGCTGTGGTGAGGGACTCCACCACAAGTGTTGACAACTGGCTGGAAGACCACACGTGCCTGATTGGAGGTGGGCACTCTCTGCTGTCTCCAGCAACCTTTTACTAAGTAATTGTGCTGATGGTGCCTACTCACGTTAGAAGGTTTTTTTTATATGCAGAAAGTGTGTGTTACCTTTATTGAGACTTTGTATTATCTGTTTAAAAAGGGAATGCAAGTAAAGCTGGCCACACACCTTACAATTTATCTGCAGATTTTCTGTGGTCAGATGGAAAAGGTGCAACAGATTCGTCCATCTACACTTAACTGTGTGGATGAAGTAATCTCCACCTGGGCCATCTGTTGCACTTTTCCCATCTGACCACAGAAAATCTGCAGATAAATTGTAAGGTGTATGGGCACCTTAAGATAAACCCCTAAAAGAGAGTCTGTCAGTTTGGCAATTCAGGGAAAATTACATCATTATCTTAAAGACTTTAAAGACCCAGTTATACTCACCTTTGCATTGCTATCTCAAAACCCCTACCTCCATTTCAGCACTGAAATGGAATTTTCAGACCGAAACCAAAAAAAACAAATATTTGTCAGGCCGAAACTGACAATTATTTATTCTAACCTTTTAAAAAAATGTTTTTAATATTTAATTTTTATTCATTTTTTTAACTTTACTGTTGGGAGCTCTAGGGAAATATCAAGGGTCTGTTTAGAATTCCCCTTTTAAAATAGAAAAAAAGAAAAAACATCTCTTTTTCTGCAGCCCCTGTTACAAATTAACAGGAACCCTCTATACTCCTGTCCATTCATAAACTTTGGATATAAAGTAGTATCAGTTACTATGTCCACAATCATGAATGAACAAGAAGTGATGTAGAGCGCTTCCAATTCATTCATAATTAGGGACACAGTAAACATACTATGTCCTCAATTATTTACAAACACTCAACGATCAGCTGATCCTTGAGTGCTTGTACTCCGCTCTCCATCCTGACTCGCTGTCACAGGAGGCTGAGCAAGTGGTGCAGGAAGGTGCGCTCAGCCACCTGTGATATGGCTTCCAGCTGACTCCTCCCCTGCAATGCTGGCATGGCCTTCCTCGACAGCTGACTCTTCCCCACACCGCTTTCCATCCTGATCTGTCACAGGTGCCTGAGCGGGGTTGTGCGGGAGGAGAGCTCGGCCTCCTGTGACACGTTCACAGCACTCTCCTGAGTGCTTCTCTCATCCCTGCTGGACACTGCTCTGCGTCAGAGGGGACACAGAGCAGCACCCACCAGGGAGAAGAGAAACCAGGGATGCACCGCAATTTCAGCCAAAAAAATTCTACTTTATTCATTTTTCCTAAAGTGTTATTTTAGACAATATGTTTGGGCGGCTGAAATTTTGGTGCATACCTAATTTGAGCCACTGAGAAATATGCATCATGTAACCATATAGGATGGTGTTAAATCATCCTTTCTGTGTGACATTTTGTTTTTAGGTGCCTGGCTGCTTAGACTAAACAATAAAACATCATGGAAGGAGGCCACATGCTTCTCCATATCCAGAAGCATTGGTTATTTGTGGCCTCTATGATGCAGGAAGTAGTGGCCTGGCAGCACTGTGAAGGAGAGTATAAATGTGTCAGGGGGTGGACTAGCAAGAGACTTTGTTACTTGTCACTAAATGGTTACTCTCACATTTTCTATTATTATTTATTTTTCTGAAAGCTTTGAAAATACTTTGCTCTTATAGAACAAGAGTGAGTCCCAAATGGAGCGTATATATTCCTGGTATCCTACAGTTCAATGCTTGCACCTGGCCACTGAGACTCATGCATTTTTTTATTGGAATACCAGAGTGTTTGCCTGATCTAGATTTGAAGCTGAAACCAAGCCTTCAGGGTGTGCCAATCCAAAGGCTAGCCAGCAGAGAAAAGCACTAGGCACAAAGGTACATGGAGTCCCACTGAAATGGCACCAAACAATGTTACTGGCTGGTGTTTTTTTTTACCAAGGTAGTATAAAAAAAAAAAAGGTATTGATATTGACAAATTGTTGAAGTACACTCATGAAGTTTGTTCCTACCTCACATGCCTATGGAATTTCTCCTCCTTGAATGGTACAGCTCGAGTGAAAGCTCCATGTTGTAAAAGTTTTGGTTTCTCATTGCATCCTCTCTGAAATGTAAAGGAAAATTATTTTTAAACAGTCCGACTCATTTCCATTGCATATTTTAAAAAAATTGCCTTGAGAAGCTATCTAAACAAGTACACTGAAAAAAGGCAACACTTTGACTTCAACATTTTATTAACAGGCCCCATAGATTATTCACCAAAGAAAACATACAGTATGTATTCATTGCAGACAGAAGAGTGTACAATTGAGAAACCAGGTACAGGGGAAAAAAAAACATTTTAAAAAGTAAGCTATATTAGATAGAATGTTTATTTGTTTTAACTATTTATTCATGAAAAAATGCACTCATAAGGTACAAAATCTGTGCCCCTGTTTGAAATCTCTCCTTACTTGCTACCCTAGTGAAAACATTTTCACTGGGACAGGAAATAAATAGAAATCTCCTAAGATTGATCACAGACATCTCTAAAAAAAAAAACTAGAGAGGTCTAAGCTTTTCCCCTTGCTGTCCAAAATCTAAAAAAATTAAAATAAAATAATTTGGCTGAAGGTAACTCAACTCCCTGTTATTACCCAAGAGTGCTTAGTTATTCCCACTGACTGTAGATATAACTATATATTTTGAACAGGAAGGATATAGAAAAACATTTTACTTAGCTGGTATATTTGGAATGGAAGCACCCCTGTTGGTTAGATTTCAAGCAGCTCAATGAGGAATGGAGATCGCTCATAGTGTAGGCTAAGGGGAATAGATATGTAAATATCCAGGGATATGAGACTTATCCAACTTTGAAGAGCAGACTGAGGAGCAGGCATTTAGGGAATGTTTCTTTGTTGATGAAACATGTAAGCTCTGGAGAGTGAGATGCTCCATATACACCAAAGGCTGGCTAGTACACAGCAGCTTAGCAGGATTATGAAATTCATACTTAACTGTATAGGGATTCAAGCTGCAGAAACCAGCCAAGACTAATTCTCCTTGGATAGATTCACTATCCATAAAAAAATTGTTTACATATGTATACTGACACAATAGGAGACTGCATTGTGCATCTAGGTGTTTCTAACTAATATCAAGCCTTAAAAAAGAACTGCATACATTGGAGAACACTTATCTCAGCAAAAACATTGTCAATAATGCAGAGGCTCTGGGTGATCTGCTCACTACATAGGTCTAAGACTAGCAATTTGCTGTTAAATTTCACTGGATAAGGTACTTTGCTTATAAAAAATATTATATTCACTTTTATGTCTCTCTGACCTTTGTGTGTAACCAAAGATATGTGCTCTTTGGAACTGCAGCAGAGTTATAGCACTTAAATCCCTAGTGCTTTCAAAGGGGACTTTCATGTACAATGCCATCAGCTATGGTGCATTCAGAATATGCCTAGAAATCAAAAACAATACTTGTGCTCTGTAGTTTGCTTATGCCTTCAGAAAATCCACCACAGGGCAAAACAGGTCATATGGTGTGTTGAAATAATTTTCAGTCATTTTAATGCTTCCAAGTTTCATAAAAAGTAAAATGAAGTAAACTAGCTATATCAAAATGTATTCTACAAAATGTTAGCTTTGCTGTTACATTTTACACAAAGGCAATCTAAAATAGTTTTCTTTCGTTATTTTGAGATGAAATTGCTCTTTATAAAATAGTCAGACGATAAGCCAGTGCTTATTTTACAGCAACTTCTAAAAAAAATCTGGACCAGTTTAATTAAGCAGATTGTTAAAACATTTGTTTAAACAATATATTAATATATTATACAGTGTAATGCAATAGACCACATCATTTTTAAAGGATTGAAAGGCTTTCTGGCATATTGTAAAAACAGGAAACAATTATGTCATATTGTCATGAAAACATCATACTTTTGGGTAAAAAAAAAAGCAAACACACATATAACTGGGACACACTTTTGCAGGCATAGACTAAAGACAGAGGAAAAGCCAGTATTACCAGTTAATGTTATTATTATGATTATTATACAGGATTTATATAGCGCCAACAGTTTACACAGCGCTTTAAATGTAAGGAAGATATCACAATTACAATACAATTCAAGACAAGATGGTAAGGAGGGAGGAGGAGTTATTACTTTTTACCACCGTCCACTGTATGCCATGTTAGATATGCAAACATTTTGTTCTGAAAGTGCATGTACACCACTTTATAAAATATGACACAAGGGTACTTTTTGTGTGGGAAAAGTTTTAACTTTCCCATAGGAAAAGGGTTCTTTACAGTAAGAGCAACAGCACAATGTAGCCTGATTAATATTGGGTTTGTTTTCTATCTCTGGGTTTCAGGTTCTGACACATGATAATAAGCAGTAGCAGTGAATCTGCAGCTTACCTAATGTTAACTCTGAACAGATGCACTGAAAGAGGGGGAGACAGTAAAGCACTGAGACACAACTTGAATTACTTCATGGTTTGTACAGTGGCTGCAGCTATGGAGGTCAGTGAGGACCTATTTTAAAGTTTATTAGCTGCTTTACAATCTATACATATGAAAATATGTATATGGCTATAGCCTGCCCACAGCTTTACCTTAACTTTAGTAGCTATGACTTTGCTTACTTCATCTCAATTGCTTGACATATTTGTCTGTTTTATTTGCTACGTCTTGCCACTGATATCTGAAAAAGGACCCTCCTTCTCTGCAGACTATAAAACACTTGGGACTGAGCCTTACATGACCATGGATTCAATTTACTATTTTAGGCATTCAGATTAGTAGAAGATATTTGCAAACAACAAAATTGACATTTTTATATTGATATTTGTCCAGGATTCAAGATTGCATTCTAATATTTTCTGAACTGCTTTGAAAATACAGATCAGAAGCATCAAAATTAAATATTTAAATTCTTCAAATATATAAAGAGCAAAAGGGTCAAGACGCAACATGTAGGCCTCATAAAGGATGAAGAGGAGAAGTTAGCTACCAGTGACAGGGAGAAATCAAATGCATTAAACACATTCTTTTCTTCTGTCTTTACAGCTGAGAGGGAGATGGGTAATGACCAGGGTATCAGCTTCAGAAACAATAACAAAGGTTTTAATGCATCACAATGGCTGTCAGAGAGCAGAGTAGTATAAAGACTAGAAAGATTAAATGTAAACAAATCCCAATGGCCTGATGGGTTACATCCACCGGTACTCAAGGAACAGGTCATAGCCAGACCACTGTACATAATCTTCATAAAGACGCTAACGACTGGTATGGTACCGGCTGATTGGCAGAGAGAGAATGTGATACCAATATACAAAAAGGATGAACGAAGTACACCTGGTAACTATAGGCCAGTCAGCTTAGCATCAATAGTGTGCAAACTATTTAGAAGGCATGATAAAAGACTACATGCAGGAATTTGCAAATACAACTTTTACATAAGTAGCAACCAACATGGCTTCTTGAAGGGCTGTTCTTGTCAGACCAATCTACTGTATTTGCCGGCGTATAAGACAAGTTTTTAGACCCAAAAACATCGCCCGAAGATCGGGGGTCGTCTTATACGCCGGGTATACTGTATGTAGCTTCGGCTACATACAGTATACCGCACTGAGCCAATCACGAAAGACTGTATTAATGAATACAAAGCCTGCCGTGATAGGCTCAGTGTGGTATACTGTATGTAACTGGAGGACGGAACCCGGAAGATGGAGGACACTGCGGGGATCGTGGACAAGGTAAGAGACTGTAATCCTGAATACCGCTATGGAGATTAGTGGGTGCATTTAAACATTATTTTGGGCTATACTCGTCCTATACGACGAGTATAGCCCAAAACCTATATTTTAACACACAAAGTGGGGGGTCGTCTTATACGCTGAGTCATCTTATACGCCGGCAAATACGGTATTAACATTTTATGAGGACGCCAGTATTAATTTAGACAGAGGAATACCAGTAGATGTGGTGTATCTGGACTTTGCAAAAGCATTCAATACAGTACCCCACAAACATTTAATTCACAAACTGAGGTCCATAGGTTTGGATGAAACCGTGTGTACATTAGTGGAAATCTGGCTGCAATAATAGACCCAAGAGGGTAGTAATAAATGGGTAATTTTCTAATTGGGCAAAAGTGGGGTGACCCAGGGTTCAGTCCTGGGACCAATTCTGTTCATCTTTTTCATTAACAACATAGAGATTTGAATAAATAGTTCCTTATCTTTTTTGCGGACGATACCAGCAGTAAATTCTGAACAGAAGATATATGCACTTCCACAAGACCTAGATAAAATTAAGACAATAAAGGAAGGAAAAGGATGCGTGGTGCAGGAATAGACAGCTGTTTTGTGCCACTTTTCATTTTCTCAAGATTCAATTCCTCTGCTTCTGATCAATTAAGACAGGAACAAGCAGACCTTTGGAATCTACCACTCTAGGTCCCCATCTAGTGGCCTAGGAGGCACATATCTTTGATGTGGCTTCCAGCAGCTTCCCAGCAGGTGCTCAGTACTTGCCTGTTTCAACACCTGCTGCAGATGTTTCATTCCACTTGGCACTTTATTAAAACTGATAAAGGCTGTCAGCTTCTAAAAAATCCCCGTCCTTCATCTTTCTCATCTGGTGTTGTAGGTAATCCTTTATTTTTTTTTACTTTAGCTACGAGCTGGTTGACTTTCAGGTATGCAAATAGTTGATGTCTCTAAGGAACTAAAAATTAAGTTTGATTATTAAAAGGAGAGTCACCAAGGAGAAAAAAATCTTTGGCCAAATGGCAAGTAACCAAGTAGATAAAGTAACACAGTTCTACTGAATGTATCTGTGTACATTTAATTGTACAAGTGTTACAATGAAAAAAAATATCACTAAATGAAAAGGATTGTGAATACGAACTCTACCATTTATATTGAATTATTTCCAGTGTCCATAAGCTTGTGACTCCACCCAGCTTTCTTTGATAGAAAAAAATTAATTTAAATAGAAGGTGCTACTACTGGTAAATTCTCACTGCCAACTACTCACCAAGGCCATCATGTATTTTAGCAGGAGAAGTGAGCTTTACACTGTTTCAATATGCTCTACAAATATTCAGTCTTGCTTTACAGACGTGCTTTTTACTATTGTAATTATGTTGATTGATCAACCAATGCTTCTCACGCTTAAGTTACATGGGTAATTTTATATGGCTTAATCATGATACTAACATTACCACTGATCAATCACTAGGAACAGTGATCAATTGGCTAAACAAATGGGACAACTAGTTTTTAATAGTGTAAACTTCACAAATAGTGTGGTATGGTAACACATTGCTCCAATTATGCTACTTGTGTAGTTTACACTATAGAAAACCATTTGTTCAGTCTGTGTAGCAACCGATTGCTATTAGTGGTTAATCACTTGATTTTAGCAGCAAGATCATACTTCCAAATCACCTTTCTAGCTCTAATGTTGATTTACATCAGATATTTTATTCTCTAAGTAGCATGTATTTTTTTAGACTTCCTAGAAAAGAAAAAAAACATTATTCTAAGCAAACATGAACTGAATGTAAAGGAAAAAAACACACACACACAAGATAAAAAGTCACCAGTTAAGAGCGAGCAAGATGTACGTTTAAGTCATTGTTCAGTCTCTATTTTATTCAGCATTTATTTTTTCATTTGTCATCTGAAATAGGACTGACTGTCTTAGCAAAGCATGCTCTAGTACAGCCAATGCTAAGAACACTGTGTGTTAGTAAAACTTTGTTATTGCTCTGAAACCATTGTTTCCCAGTTCTTACAGAGAATCGTGACCTTTTTGACTGTACCTCTCGGCGAGATTATGTGGATACATACAACAGAAGAACAGCGGGAATCAAGTTCTTATATGTCTATGCTTCCATTATTGCCTAAATGACAGTCTTTGTTGTCTCTCTCCCCTTTTCTCATCCCTAACTCTTATATTTTTCTTCACTGCAGTCCCCTTA